TGGGGGTGGGAATCGGGCTTGTGCTGCCAGAAACCCTTGAATTCGGCCTAGCATCAAACTGTCGCCTTTCCCTTTCTGCTCCGGCCGCCTCCCTGCCCTCATTCCCGGAGTCGTATTTCCTTGCCTAGGGGCGCAGGAGTGGAGGTGAGCTGGCAGAGGTGGGTTGCGGAAGAAGCCTCACGGCTATTCTCCAGCCAGGCTTTAAATCAGAGTGCAATCGCATGCATCTCTGTGCATCTTTGAGGGCTCAGCCTGCAAGTCTAGTACTTGAGCCGAGAAAGCTGCACTGCCTTAACAGGGAGTAACTTAAGGAGAGGTAAGCACTGCAGTTAGGAAGAGTTGCAGCACAGCCTAAACGTGTTGTATATTGATGCTGCATGCACAGTTGCCTCGTGTGCCTTTTGTGACTGCGATGTGGCAGCCAAAGCAACAGTCTGAGTTTAGGTGGCAGTTACTTGTTTGCTCTGTAGCTTTGGTACAGCTGATCAGTACCTTGGATTGGAATATCTGGGCAGACTTGCAAGAGAAGCTGCTGCTTCTGGCAGGTGTTATTGTGTGGGTTTTTTAATCAAGCACAGCAAGTACTTGGCAATTATATCTTAAGGAGAAGCCCTGGGCTGCAGCATAGCTCCTAGTGATCCATCATAAGCATAAGAGAATCAGACTTCTTGGGTCTTGTATGTGTCAACCCTTCAGTGCCTTTTTGAAAAGACTAGGAGTCAAAACCTCCATGGTATTCTGAAGACATGCTGGTTTTATCAGAATAGCTCAGCTTTCTAGGCTGTCTATCCTGAAGACTGGACTTTCGCTAACCAGCTAGCTTATCGCCCTGAAAACACCTAAAACCACCTAGATTCATAGGAGAAGCAAGGAAGAGCACAATAAGCATGCACTTGAGTAATGTGGGTTGTGTGCCTGAGTGATTCGGTAAGTATTTGTTTATGCAGATGGAGATGGGGGATGCAGTTCAAGGTGGACTGAGTGTGTTTTGTGCATACTCCAGCTGCCTGAGTCAAGGTGACCAACGATGCTTATGGAAATAGCTGCTGAATGTTTCTCTTTTGTCTTCTTTTTACCGTATCTTTCACTGTAGCTGATTCAGTCATGACTCAACCTGGTATTAACCATTAGCTGACCCTCATATGAAATTTGGCTAGTTTTTGCGTTTTAAGTTCATCTTGTCCAGAAAGCTTTGTTTCTTCTGGAAAGCTTTCCTTCTGTGTGTCATGCTATTATCAGTGTAATAGCTGGGCAAATAAAGTAACACACTGGTGCGGTGGGGGGAAAGCCAAGAGACAAGGCAGTATATATATGATAGAGCACTGCGATGGTTTTGGCATGACAGTGCCCAGTGCTGAAAAACTGCTGAAAAGCGTACCTGAGAGGAATTCAGTGGACACAGTTTCCTGCTTGCTGCAGCCCCTGTATACTATACCAGCCATGAGGGTTGCCAGCCCACCTATGCTCTTTTAGTGCTTGTGGGTGTGATACAAGTCATGAGTGACCACCACATGCAGCTGTGTTTCAGAGCTTCATTGTGTCCTCCAGGTAGTGGAAGAGTTGACCTCATTGAAAATAGAGGTAAAGAATAGGAAATGTGGGTACTAATGGCTAAAATGTGTGCCTTGTTCATAGGAATATCTCAGTTCTGTTCCTCAGGATTTCCAAAAGCAAAATCTTGCACCAGGAACATGGCAAGTATCATGTCTACAGGTTCCTCCCATAAAGTGTGTCCTGTAGCCCACAGAGCCTCACAAAAAATATGCTTGGAACAGACAGCTTTTCAGAGGTGGTCTAGCAAAGCCTTCAGCCTTGCTGAAAGTGATGGGCAAAACTCAGCATAGTTGGAAGCACTGTGGGAACAATGCCAACTAGCTATGAATCCTGGGTTAGAGCTAATCACTAAGAGATTTACCCTGTCAGCTGCTTGTCAGAGTGAACTCTAGAGCTTTTCATTGCTTAGCTTGTAGCTGCTGGGTCATTGTCTCAAGTGCTGTTGGAAGTGCATGCTGCCAACCTGCTGTTTCCCTGTGGTCTCCTGGTGGGGTTGTTTTGCAGCTGCTCAGGCATCAGCCATTCTCTTCTACCCCATGGGTGTTCAGCATAACGTTGCAGCAGCAGGAGACGCAGAGTCTGGGCAGGGTCCCCAGGGCTGGGTGGCAGAACAGCTTTGGTGTTACTGGACGCCTCTTGTGAGTACAAGCAACTGTGAACACTGATGTTCTCTGCCAGCCTGTTCCCTGAAGTGGATCTTCTGTGCAGCTCAGCAGACCTTGCTCCAAGCGGAGCCATCTCCTTTCCTGTTGGCAGACTGAGAGGCTTGGTTGAGGAGGGCAGCAACAAGTCCATGGGTTATCTAAAGGCTTTTCCATTTGCAAAGCTGATAGTGACTTCTTCAGGTTTGTCATGTTTCCTAGTGCTTGGTAATAGCTGCTTTTACATGATTGTGGACTCTTTCATAATCAGTTCTGATTAGCTGTCAGAATATCTTAGTAATGTCTTCAGAGATGAAGGATCCTGCATACTTACATGGGAATTTCTCAAAAAGTGGTGGTAGTCTCTTGAGGGATTCTTCTGTTGATGCTTCAGTCGGTTCCCTGTCTGTAGCAAGACATTACAAGTTCTTTGAAATTTTGTGTGTTTTTTTCTTGTCCTCATTTTTGCTGCCATGGAGGAGGCTCATCAGGTGCCCTGTAACAAGAAGTATCTGCGTTACAAATTGCTCTGTTTCTGCATCACATGCCACTGCATGTGTACCTCTCCCTTTCTGTTCCCACCTAGCCAGTGAGCTGTTGTGCTCCTGTCGCTCAGCAAGGCACCAAAACAATTGCAAGGTTAGTTGAGTCTTCCTAAGTACAGAGAAAGGCCTACCGACGGTGATGCAGTTCAAAACTAGTGCTGGCATCCCCCTCAGTTCTTGAGGAACTGCAGGATTTTTATTGCATCACCTTCAAGGGAGGAAGGTCCTGGCTCCTTTCTAGCTAGTCTCCTGCTCAGGACAGATGTCCTGCAGAGCAGTAGGCACTTTGTTTTCTGCACAGAACAAATCTTGTGCTGCTTTGTGCCTGTGATTTAGGGGGGAACACGTGCAAGGACTTCCTGGGTGATTGTGTACTGGGGTACAAGTACACTAATAATTGATATCAGACCTAAGATGTTCTGTGGCTTGAAGGAGCCCTTTTTTTTCTGGCAAGGCTTTAACTTGAAGAAAAAAGTTTCATTTTCTTATGCTGGTCATGTATTGTGGAAACACAGTGTTCCCTCCTTGGAGAGGACTTCCTCTGCAGTGAGCTTTTTATGACTATGATAGTGATACATGTCAGGAAGGTCAAATATTACTTTAATGTAGTCAGGATTACAGTGTTCTGTTGTCCAGTTTGCTACATGTTGCACTTTGGTGCAAGTATGTTCTTGTATTTGTTGAAAAAAGCAGAAATTCTAGAACGTGCAGGGAAACACTAATACTCTTGCTATAAAACCCTTCTCCTACACCTCTGATACACTTCTGGCACATGAACGATCATAGAAGAACTTAGAGGTTTACTTGCCATATTCCTCAGATGCCCAAGCTTTGGTCTCTGATGCTGTGGCATTTGTATAGTCCTGCTGGAAGCAGTGACCAATGCCAGGGTACAGGAATCAGTTTGTGCATATTCAGTCTACAGTGAAGGAAACGTCACCTTACTAAGCAGACGTTGTGGAGGGTTTTTGCTAGCCAGCTTCAGGCATTTGGTGTACAACTGCTGTTACTGGTAATGGAATGAGAAATATTTTCTTAAGCTTGCTTTTTGCAAAGTAAAACTTGTGGCCATATGCATTTATCTCAGCTTGAAACAATTTCTTTAGTTGTCTGTCTGTGCTAATTTAATATATTTAATTTTTAGGACACCTCTGCATCTCGCTTGTGCAAACGGCCATGGGGATGTCGTTACATATCTAGTAGAAAACAAGTGTAAGCTAAATCTTCTTGACAATGATAACAAATCGCCACTGATGAAGGTATGTGGAATATGTTAAGTTCTTGCAAGTGGGGCTTACTGATTATGCACTAAATGATATGTATTTTGCAGGATTCTTTACACAGACCTGTGTAGAAATGTGCATATTTTAATTAGAGTGGAATAGGCATATGTTAGCTAATCTTTGAAGGTGCTCTTATTTTGCAGCGTTGGGAAGCTGGGGGAATTGTAACAGAGTGAAATGTAAATGCTGGAAGTTTTTCCTTTTTTGTGTGTTATTCCCAGGCAGTACAGTGCCAGCAAAAAAAATGTGTGGCTATTCTTCTAGAGCATGGTGCTGACCCAAATCTGGCAGATGCTGACGGCAACACTGCCCTTCACCTTGCTGTCATATCTCCCAATACATCTGTAGCAGAGCTGTTACTTGAGCATAATGCCAATATTGATGCCCAGAATAAGGTAAATTTTTTTATCTGTTAAGGAAGTTCTTTCAAAAACTTGCATTAATATTTCTCTTGAAGGGCTTTTTACTTTGATTTTTAACTTGACTCATTTATCTGTTCTTTCAGGAGGGATATAGCCCACTCATTCTTGCTGTCTCTGAACACCATGAAGAGATGGTAGAATTTCTCCTTAAAAAAGGAGCCGACGTGCATGCTCGAGATCAGTGTGAAAGGTGAAGGGTTTGTCAAATTCTGCATGGGTGTCTCTAGTATTCTTTAGGTTGGACTGATGAGAGGCACGGGAATGAGCGCTGGGAAAAAAAAAAGCCGGGAGCCACACAGAAGGAGTTATTTCTGTGTGACTTGTGAAAGCAGGTCTGCACTTGGATGCTTTTTGCATTGAGGATTGCAAGAAGGCATTGTCTGTGGTGCCTTTCTGGCAGAAAACGTGCCATTAGCTCAGTAGCATTGCCTAAATTCGGGGAAAAAACCTCCTCCTGCATAGCAGTGTAGTTTGCATTTTAGAGTTGTCTATGTGGAAGCTTTGTCTGAAGGTTGAACATTTAATTGTTTTGACTCCCTGTCCCATTTTATTGTTGCTCTTAATGCTTAATGAAAACTGCTTTTTCTTTCATTAATTTCAAAATAATGAGGAAAATTCTGGAGAGCAAATAGGAATAAAAATAATTACAGTGTGTGTGTGTAAAAATTATCTATTTCATATCATATTTTGGATGTTTCAGAACCCCACTTATGACTGCTGCTTCTGGTGGGGATCTTAATTTCATAAAAGTTCTTCTTCAGTATGGTGCTGATGTTTCCCATAAAGATACTAATGGACGGACAGCTGAGGATTATGCTGTTATTCATGGACATTCTAGGTAAAATTCTAAGTTTATCATTACAGTAAGTTGTCAGTTATCAGTATGGCTTTTGAACATTTTTGGTAATAGCACCAAAGTTTGATGGTGTGTTGAGACCTCTCTTGAAGCTGTGCTCAGTTAGGTCTTCTGATATGTATCATTCCTATGTCTAGTGTTAACTTGGAAGTTGGGGAAAATTTCCACCCAAAATTCTCTGTTAGATTTCAAGTTTTGTTGCTAAGCTCACATCTGCCCCATATAAACTCTGAAAAGTGTCTGTAGCATACAGTTAGCCAGAGGTGGAACTCTGGAGGTCAAACTGTAACCCTCTCCCCAGACCAGCACTGTTGTCCTTACTAACTTCCACTACGATGACTAGGAGCTACCAGCCTTTTCCTTCATAGCAGATCTAACCGCTTAAAATCTTATGCAGTTTTACTCCTCTTATGCATAGCTTTGTACCTTTGGGTGTTCCTTCTCTAAGGTGGTTATGTGTGCTTAAAAGCTAGGCTGAAAGAAATGTACTAAGCAGGAGTTAATTGCTTTGTGGGTATGAATACACATCTATAGAATGAACATGACTATAGTGAATATTGAAGTATGTAATAGCCATGCAGTAAGTGCTGTGTGTATTACCCTTAGTGAATACATAAAAGTATATGAATTCATATGGCTATGATGGATAATAAGTGGCTGTTAACTATTCTATTAAATGATATATGAAAGTATGTGGGTATTTTTACCAAATACATTTCCTCTCTTTCTATATATAGTCTTAGTAAACAACTGGCGGAATACGCAGACTGCGAAAACACTGGAGAAGCTTCTGCAGGTGATGCACAAGGCATCACGGTACTTAGCACTCCTCACCGAGCAGGAGCTGCTGGCTTTATGTTGGGTGCACCTGCTGTGGACAGAGGAGGTAGGATCCTTAACCATGGAGGAGCTCATGAGGAAAATCACTGTGGCCTTTTCTTTAGGTGGTTTGTATTGTTAAAGCTTTTTGTGTTCACCATTGACTTCAGCAGAGGCATCAGGTGGAGTAATGAAATAAGTTGAATGTGCTTATTTGTTGCTAGTTGGAGGTGCTTCCTGTCAGGCTGTGAAGGCAGTTGTGATTTGTGCGCTACATGTTCACTTACAGGGTTGTTGCCTTCTGCCTGTAAGATTGCACATCTAGAGGGTTTTTCCTAGAGAGAGAAGGAGGACAGAGAAGGAACTAGATCAGAGCGTATTTGTTTTTCAGGTGTATACTTCTACCTATAGTTGGCCATTCAGACTGAAAATCCAATTGCAAAAGCAGTAGCTTCATCCTGAATAGTTGTTTATCTTTCTGTAGCTGGGAAGCAACATACGAGTTAGCAGGAAGATAAATGTCTTGTTGATTTCCATTGAGTTTGTATGTCTTTGTTTTTAATATTAATAGTTTCACCTGCACTAAGCTCCTTTTAGTGAATCATCTCATGTCTCAGCATCAGTTACAGTTGTTTCTGTGTAGGTGCTGTAGAGACATACTTAGTTACTTTTCCAAGACAATTTTTCCTTTGTCAGCAATAACAATGCAGTGTCTGTGTATACTGTATCTTCTTGGATATAGTTTGATTTACAATAAAATAACACTTTTCTTCCACTTTCAGTAATTTCATGACATAAACTTTAAAAAAATCCATATTACCTTGTGATCCATTAAATTACCTTGTGATCAAAAAATTAGCTACTTCAGTGAGTTTGTAAAATCCAGTTGATGCTTATCAGCATCATATAGCCCTAAAGGAATCTTAGAAAATTAGTATTTTAATATAAATAAAATTGTTTGTCTTGTACTTTACATCTTAGGCCCTATAGTGGGAAGTTTTATTCTTTCTGGTTGTCTAAGGGTGTTATATCAGAATGATGTGGCAAATGGGCAGCGGTCAGTGTTCAAACACAGTTCATTACTCCTTTTTTAAATATCTAAAGAAATATGAGCAAAACATGGGATTATTTTCCTCATTGACTTTTCACAGATGCATGAATTTTAATTTAGAGCCAAACTTTGTTCCTTTGACTTGGGAACAGTTGCTTTGATCTAGTTGGAGATTTGTAAAGTTCTTGATAGATTGAAGGAAAGACCTGTGTTATTTTAAAATATGTGACTTAAAGAATAATACTGTTGTGTGATTCCAAAATTGACAAACTCTCAGGGAAACATGGGTTCTCAAACCAAGTAATTTGCCCTATTCCTTGAAAATTATAGTACTACTAACAAAAGTCCCCAGTATTATGGGAAATCTTTACTTCTCTTCGTTTGAAGAGGCATAATAAATATGGAGGAGAAAGACTATGCTCTGTTCTCAGTCTGTTTCTAGTAGGGCTTGTTTTTCTTCTGAGTAGTATGAATCCTTTTCTCCTTGTGCTCAGTCTCTTAAAAGATGACTCCAGCATGTTGAGTGAGAGGGATTAGTAGCATATAGTGAACATTTATTGTCATTAATTCTGCAGTCTCTGTACCCACAAAGCACAGGTCCTGTATCATGACTGTCCCTTTGATAATGCTGCAGTAATAGGCTTTGAAGCCTATGTTAAACGAGAAGCTGGGATGATCCAGAGGGACCAGAGAAGCACACACTTTGGAATTCTTTTCTTTTGCTCTTCGGTACTGTGTTTCTGGGATCTTCAATACTTTCCTTATTCCTCTTGCTGCTTTTGCAGTTGTGGAACATTCTTCAAAATATTCTCCTCTAATGAGCAAGTCAGCATATTTAAGAAGTTGGTTCATGCTTATTTGAGTGTTTACTTTTTGTCAGAACATGAACCTTTTTATTAATCACAGACAGGTTTGCAAAAACCTCCAAATGAATGGCTTCCAGCCCTAGCATATTGAATGGCAGACTTTTTAGATTTGAAGCTGGAATTTCTTTGGCAAATAATAATAATTATGCAATTTTTCTAAAGGCAAGGATTCAGATTTCTAGTATGTCTGCACTGGCAGGTTTTTTTTAGCTACTGCACTGCATATTAGCGTATTGTTCCTTCAGTGTTTCCCTGAGTCCCTACAAAAACTGTTGGTTTTTCATCGTAGATCTCTTGGAAAAGAAATGAGTGCTTCAGTGTGATTTACATCTTCTGAGGTCAGAAAGAGTTGTCCTGTATCACTTTTTAAGAAAACTGAGAAATGGAGAAGGGATGAGAAACCATCTTGAGGTAGTTTCTTAACATTTTGAGTGTATGTTTTTGATAGGAGTCCTTTTGCCACATACATTCTGTGTATTTGTGGTAAAATCAATGTAAGCAGGACACCCTTCTGCTCAGAGACAAATGTTATGGCCTTGTCATGAAGAAAATTGGTGTTGGGTAGCTGCAGTAACAGAACACCACCATTCGTTGACTTAAAATATAAATTTTACTGAGTAGGGTGGATAGAACAGGTGGATAGCGATTTATATTCTGAAGCTTCTGTTCCACAACAGACAGACAAGCATATGCACACAAACACACTTGCGTGATACTCACACCAGTCAATGTACCTGTTTTGGTCCAGTTGTGGCCTACGGTGCTGAGGGAACAGGGTATTCATTCTGACTGCTTGTCATGTCTGCATTCTGGCTGGTGGCATAGCTTCTGTATGTGAACAGTTCAGCATGGTCAAGTCAGTATAAACAGGATTGTCATCTTCAGATTGAGGTAGGAGAGGCCTATGTTTGCATCAGGTGCCAACTGACACAACTTTTCAGGTGAGCTGGCTTAGGGCAATAAGTATATGGATTGTCTTTTTAGTGAGGAGAACAAACATGCTGAAACTGTAATGTAAGGTGAGTGAGTGTAAATAACATAATGGCTAGAAGTCGCGTGGTGGTGGAGCCAAGATTTCCTTCAAAATTTCTGGATAGTGTATCTCCAAAGTTTAGTTGTTAGTACCTAAGGATTTTTGGGATGCTTAGAGTGGGGGTTTTTAAGTGTGCTCTATGTGTAAAGCCCTCTACAAATATGAAGGAATTGCATTTGCAGTATGTGCTATATGAGGACTAGTCAAGTTGTCAATATAAAGTTGTCAGTAGAGTAAATTTCTCATAATCCGTTGCAGGATTTCAAAATATTGGTATATGGGTATTTTACACGCAGCAAGTAAATTAAGTTATACTGTTTGACATTGTCCCTTGAGAGCAAAGTTCTGTAGACGATGATTGTTTTTGTTTCTAGCATTTACAACTGTAGAGTAGACTGATAGTCACAGTACATTTTCCCATTGCTGTAGCTTTGTTGCTGTGCTGCTCATATTTTCCAAACTTCTGGGAAGTCAAATTTATTCTGATGTCGTTGTTTCATCTGTCCTTTCCATGCCTTTTCCTAAATGGATATAGGAATGCAACAATCTCCTAACCAGACATCAAGAACAGGAAAATCAAGGAAAGGTATTCTGTACAGTAGCATTTCAAATATGAAACATGTTTGTGTGATATACAAATAAATCTATGATGTTGTTTTAGCCTCGAGGACCCTATTTTGATGGGTTTGGTTTTATAAATTAGATTTGAGAGCAGGCTTTGGGTGCTTTTTATTTGTTTGCATGTTTTGCATGAGTCATTATTGAATTGAGTGTTTGCTTTGTGTCATTAGTGATGGTAAATATATATATTATTGTTTTAAAATATGTTCTTCTGTTGCTCCAAAATGGAAATGGACTTCAATTAAAGTGGAAACAAGCAATCCCCAGAGACTGTTTTTAGATTCCATTTCTATGTTAGGGCATCAAGGTCTGTCTGAACTCTAGCTCATGAACTTCCTCTGTTGCTTTCTAAAGGACAATGTGACCTGGTTTGGATCATTGCTTAAAGTTACTGTACATTGAAAGCAAAAGTTCAGATAACTTACTCATCTGGTTTGAGTAATTAGAACCATACTAATTGAGAATATAACTGAAGTCACCTATCAAGAGTTTATAACAGAGTGCTTAACCCTACCCTCACAGTTCTAAGACACAAGTTTTCATTCAGCTTTGAAGGTTAGCAGGTAGATTAGACTGTGGGTACTGAGTGAATTAACAGAAAACTTTTGGTACTTAAAACTAATTAATATTTTTAAATATTATGTGTTTGCAATGGGAAACATTGAAAATCAGAGATTGTGTTGGTCTGTTTTGACTGTTTTAGCTTGTCCTCACACTGGAAGTTTCATCCTCTAGGTTTTGTCTGCATGGCATGTCTACACTGAACATGTATACTGTATTTCATTGTCTGAAAGCCCTGTTCAGGTCAGGAGATGTACTCATCAAAGTTCCCACATAAACCCTGTCTTTAGGACAGACAAAATTTCCATGCTTATTTGTGGTTTACTGGTAGTAGAAGAGATGTCTTCAGGCATGGTATGCCTTTGTTTTCTTTTCCTTTTAATGATTTTGCTAAGACCTTGGTTAGGTTGTCATCATGTGACTTTATGGAAGGTCATCTATCTCCTGTTTATAAGCAACTTCATTTTGTTGTGATAGCTAACAAGAATTATTTATCGAGAATTTGAGGAATGCTGAAATAGCTACTATGTGGAGGTTACATTTGTTTGTGTTTTCCCTTCTGTCTTAGGAACTGAAGAACCCTTTCATTTCATCTTACTTGTTGATAGTTGAGAAGTTTTAGCACTCTTCAGGCTGGATGCCTAGAGTTCAGATTTCATCAGTATGTCAGTGATATGCTAGAGTGCGCTCTCATCAAGTTTGCAAATGCCCCCAAGGTGGGGGGATCAGTAGATATGGCTCAGGGCAGCGCTGCCATTCAGAGGGACCTTGACGAGCTGTGGACGTGGACTGTCCATCCTGTCTTATGAAATTCAGCAAGGGCAAAGACCAGCTATTTCAGCATAATGTTATACATAATATTACCTGAAATAGTAAAATCTCTGCGTGTGATGTGTACTCCTGTGTGTAATGGTACTTCAGAGGTTCATTTATTTACTGTCTTACTAAACTATGACCATTTTGTTAACTGTTTACTAGCATAGCCTAGTCATGCTATGCTTCTTTGGGGGGGGATGTTTCTTAAACTTGTAGGTATAAGAGTCCGAAGGAGATATAACTTTGGTCTCTTTTGGTTTTGTTTTTTTTTAAATTCAGTATGATTTGAAAAAGCAGCTGTTTTGGAAACATATTCATTCATACTGTCTTGTGTTGAATTGACTACCCCAGAGTTTCATTCTGTTACGACCTGTAAAGTTGTCCATGTTAAATGTTTATATGTGCTGGTTAATTTTTAGCATGCCAAATCTAATTTCAACATGTCAATTAATATTTGAACAGCAATAGATGACCTTTCCCAAGGAGACTCAATAAGGTAAGACTTTAAAAATACCTAACACTTACCTGAGGAATGATTTGAGAGACACAGTACTCATCTTGCTTTGCTTTTTAAGAAGCTCTGAGAAAGAGGGGAGTGATGACAGTTGGCATACTTCTGAGGAAGAAGAACTCGATTTTACCCCCAAGGTATGAAGCCTTTCCAGAAAAAATGTGCTGTAAAAATAAGTGATTTGAAGGCAACCTTTCCCTGAGATTGAAAGAAACTGCAGTTCCAGCCAATATTGTTTTCTCCTTAGAAGCAGTCTGGCTTGCCAGCCTTTCTTCTGCTGTGAGTTTTTCCTAAAAGACCTGTAGCTGTGGCAAAGCATGCAGTAGACGTGTGGTTTGGGGTAAAAGAGCAATAGGTGACGAGATAAACCACCACATTGTTTCATTTGTTCTTTTTCATTTGAGTCAGATTTGCAGACCCTAAAAGTTTGTCAGTTACTATTATAACCTATTCTGTTCTTCTCCAAACATTGTTATTGTTTCCTGTAAATTTGGTGATAGAATCCTAACTGATAAATACAACGGGCATTTATTTATCAAGACCTACTGAAATCCTTCATCACCTAGTTCTCCTTTCCTCCTCGTCAGGTTCCTCAAGAGCACACGATGGATAAATTACTCAAATGGGTCATCTTTTTTCTTTTAGGAGATGGCATTCCATGCTTGCATGTAATCTCACACTGCATGTTTTCCCTCTTTTTTGAATGCCAGTAGTATTCTTTTTGTCAGCTATAAGCTCTCATGCCTACTGTTTTTACTAATGTTCTGAAGAGTTATCAACTTCTTTAGGGATGTCTGAAGCATGTATTCTGTTGCACTGGGAATCTACAGTGATGAGGAACCTGAGTGTGGTAGTTAAACCCACTCTGTAATGCTGCAGATGCAAGCATGTTTATTTTTAACATGATTTCATTTTCTTGCATTGATTTAAATAGAAATGATGTATTTTTCTGGCATGATTTTGAAAGTCAGGGATATTTTGGTAAATGTACTTGCAGGGATTAATTCGTGCATTAAGTCTAGGGATCTTAACAGTTGCTTGCGTTGTACGCACTTGCAAGTAAGCATCCTGAAACTGCAGTCTTACATATACCTGAATCTTACTTAATTATTACAAATATTAAAAACAGATTTTTCGAACTGATATGCATGTAAACCTAGTTTTGGAAACAGTTTGCAGAAGGGTGCTTGCACAGTGTTTTGGGGTGAAATACTCACTGAATTGCATATGTGAGGAGTGTTTGTGTAGTTGGAACTATAGGATGGAGCCAGCACCTGAGCACTATCAAAAGGACAGCCTGATTATGTTTACTGTTCAAGATTTGATGTGAACAAAGGATTTGTTGTTGTTACTGTTAAAAAAAAAAAAGTTTTTGCTTAAATAAATCTTTATTTACAGAAGCTGCAGAAGCCAAACTTGACACAGTTAATGAATGCTTCCCAGCAGTTCAGGAAAAACAGTAAGTTATTTGGAAAAGATTACATGATATACTGATATATAAAAGCAGACTTGCTAAGCAGTTTGGTGTTTTTTGTGGGTTTTTTTTGTTTGGTTTTTTTGGGGTTTTTTGGGGGTTTTTTTTGTTTTTTTTTTTTCCAAAATACTACTTTTCTCATTTTGAAAATACAGCACGTACTTACTTTTTTCTGAAATGACTAATATTGTTAAAATGAAGATATTAATCTTTTCCTAAGCCTTTGTCCCTGGTCAAGTCCTTCCTCCATCCTGCACCCTTCCCTACCTGGCTCCTTTTGCAGACAGTTCCAGGTGACTCTCTTCCTGTTCATTAAACCGGTAACATGCCTATTGCTATTTACATCAATCCTTTTGTTCACATGCATTTTTCCTTTTCTTGTGCTTTAAGATGATGGTGATGGTTCTAGAATTGAAAATCCTAAGTCACCAAAGAAAAGCCTCAAAGAAAGAACTCCATCAGATGCAAACCTGAACAAAGGAGAACATGGAGAACTGTTGAATCAAAATGTCTCAGATGCAAGCAACCTGGAGGAAGAAGAATTGGAGGAGGAGGAGGAGGAAGATGAAAGTGACAATGGAGATGATGATGAAGATTATGAGGAGGAGGAAGAGGAGGAGGAGGAGGAAGATCTGGAAGATGAAGAAACTCAGTGTCATGACATACTGGAGGAGGAGCAGGGGGAAAAAACAAAACCTAGAAGGGAAATTAATCAGAACTTGGAGTATTTTGGTAACACTAAGTATGAAGGGGAGGCTCGGTGTGGAACTGGAGATGTCTGTGATGATTATCATAAGCTAAGTAAAGAACTTGATGGAAAGGTGGAGGAATCTGTTGATACTCCTGTGTCTTTTATTGCTGGGTGTTATGAAAGGTTGCAGGAAAATATAACTGCCCTGTCTCCAAAGATAATGAATAATGAAGTATCTTGCAAGTCAGTACCAAAACAATCTGTCTTTCAAAATCTAAATAATTTGCAAGATACACAGGAAAGCTGGAACAAGAAAACCATGATTCAGGAGAAGTTTCACAGAAATGCTGACTCCTGTTTTGCAGACTCTGAAATGACAAACTGGAAAAAAGAGACACCTCCACCTCTTTCAGATAGTTGTCTTAAGGAGAAAAAGTCAAGTTTCGGTGATGGCTTTGAAAGTGGTAATAATTCTCGGTCAGCAGCAAAAAACCCAAGGCTTGAAAGTCAAAGACCAAACTCTGTCATTCTTGAACATGTGCATGATGATGATACTGAAGAAGAGCAATATGAAGAAGCAAATGATAAAGTCTGTGAAGCACTGAAACAAAAAAGTGAAAACTTGTGCTTAAATAGGCATGAAGAAGATTTAAGAGCAGCATTTCACTCAAGCATCAAAGCAAGTATATAGGGATGATTCAATAACAAGGGTATTTTCTAAGGGTAATACAAGTAAGAAACAAATGGTAAACTGGATTTCTGTTAATACTTATTCTTTACATATATCCATCTTTTGATCATCCTTTTTTGGTATTAGAAAATGTCTTACTCTTAGCCAAAGCAGTTTCTTAGGTGTAAGAATAATATCAGGCAGCATTTTCAATATGTTTTTTTTTCCTATTGGTTACAGTGGTTTTGCAGAAAAAAGAATAGGCAGTAGTGTTTTTCTGGAATCAATTTTTTCTCAGTTGTTACGTACGGTTTTATCTGTGAAGATTTACTGCCATTTAGTAAAATTCATGGTGTGATGGCTGAAAGTGAGGAAACAAAAAGAAGTTTGGATAAAATTGAGAGCAGGAAGCTAGTGCTTTTCCTTGGTGCAAAGCAGGGGAAAAGAATGTGTTCCAGATTGATGTAACTTAAATGAAGCTAGAGTTAGACTGATATGAGGAAGTACTCCGTGGAGGCTTTGCAGAATGCGGGACAAGACAATGCCATTAGACATTGCTCTCTATTCATACCGATTCCCATGGTAACACTGAAGGCCTTGTAAAACAAGGCTCAACAAAGTTTCCTTTTTCTGTTACACGAGAAAAGTATTTTTCAAGTTGTCGATGAATGGCAAAGATGCTTGTTTCTGTTCTTTGCAGCTGTTCTGGTCAATCTCTTTTAGGAAGAATCACCTGAACAGGAAGAGGAGGAGCAGGAGAAGGAAGACACTGGTGAACAGCTACGAACTGCAGTTGTTGAGGGTGTGAAAAATTCTGTTTGTAATGATAGCCATCAGGTCAACAATGCTTCAAAAAGTGCTGGTGAGAGGAATGAGTTAGTAAATACTGATCCCAGTTCTTCCTCTATAAATATTAATGCACAGTAAATGAACTAAAATGGTGATTGACTTCTGAGATAGCAAATTTTTCCTTTGCTTGTGAATCCTAATGGGCATTGGCAGAGAAGGAAAGCAGCTTTTGTTCCTTTTCATTCATTCTTGAAGAACTGAAATTGTGGTATTGGATTCCAAATGATGCTATATAAAGTGCCATTCTTGCTTTTGTTGTTGCATTCTCCCTGAAACAGTCTGAACAAAATGCACAGATGAAAAAGAGAAGGAGGACTAGAGTATCTTGGGTGTGACGGTAGTATTCCTCTTTCAGGCCTGTACTGTCAGAGTGAAAAGCTGTGATTTGCTTTTGTCTGAAGCCTGGGAAAGATTTGAGTCAAGTTGAGAGAAAACTGTTCTGTTCCAGTGCCTCACCCTGTCCAGTTTTAAAATGTAGAAAGTATCTCCAATGCACACACACTTCAAAGAATCACTAAGGTTGGAAAGGACCTTCAAGATCATCAAGTCCAACCATTAATCCAGCACCACCATGTTCCCTAAACCATGTCCTGAAGCACCACATCCACACGTTTTTTGAACGCTTCTAGAGATGGCGACTCCACCACCTCCCTGGGCAGCCTGTTCCAATGCTTGACCACCCTCTCGGTGAAGAAATTTTTCCTAATATCCAATCTAAACCTCCCCTGGCATAACTTGAGGCCATTTCCTCTCGTCCTATCGCTGGTTACTTGGGAGAAGAGACCAACACCCTTGTGTGTGCTTGAAAGCATTACCAGCTTGGTCAGGGTTGCGCACTTTGACACTCACCTCAGGTCTCGGAGCAGGAGGAGAAGGCACCATTTCCATTGTTTGTCTCCAGAGAGTAGCTTGGTGTGGTAGCTGTTACCAGAGCATGTGTAGTTGCTGATCAAATGCTACACAGAGGGCCTGGCAGAACCTGCTGTATTCAAGTGTTGTCCCATATACATGTTCTTCTGTCTCTGCATTTTACCATAAGCATGCGTTTGACATAGTCTCAGTAGTCAGACCCAAGGCTGGAACCAGTAGTTGCCCTCTTCTGGGGTGGATGCCCTCACTGCTCTCCAGCTCCTTCCCACTTCTTTCTGTGCATGTCTCCACATGAGTGAATCCTGAAACAGTTTTACCTAATGGAGTAGCTTAAAACAGAAATGAAGGTAGTCTGATCTGTCCAGGAACACACTGAGACTGAGCCTTACGTTTGGTAGAGAAGGGATTTGGATGCTAACCCCCTGAGAAAGAAACAGCTTTTGTGTTTGGGGTGAGTGAGCTGTGAGCCTCTATTGTTAAATGGCAATGCTTAGGTGTCTAGCTTCTGGGAAGGTGCAGGTTAACAACTCTCTATCAAGGAAGATCTTTCCTGGTAGTGCTACAAAAGCAGCATTGTTTCTTGGTGATTTCAGTGATGTTACTGTGAGAATGTTTTCAATAATGTTTCTATGGTACCTCCTGTACAGTAGAAAGTGGGTAGCAAATGTCAACTTCTGGAGCTGTAGGCTGGAGAGCAGTTGACCTAAACTCTGTATACCACAGGACTGCAATGTGCTGAAGTCTCTTCCTGACCATTACCTGAACATGTTGAGTGTTGCTTGTAACTGTGTCTGCTGTTCTCCATAGCCATCTTACGCTAGAAAGGAGGTGAGAAGAGGTATGATGCAAACAAATACCATGAGGTGGCTGGGCGCAAAGAAACCCTTGAATAACCCTTGAAAGTCATGTTTTAATACTAGCTGGAGAACGGGCAGAGTAAAAG